TGAGAATGATGCGTCAGTCGGGCCAAATATAAACATAACTTGTTAGGCTCGTGTTAGACTAGGGGATACTTGTTTTGTGGTTTTTTGTTGTTTAATTGTTTTATTAGTAGCTAAAGGAGGCGACGCAGGATCTTTAAATAATCTTTAATTGTTTACAATTCATACGAAAGTCAATCGATTCCGGTGAAATTTTTAACATACATATAACTTACCGAGATCTACAAAACGAATTTTTTAAATTTTCGTTGTAGGTTCAGATAAAACAGCTAAAAAAAACAAGAGTTTTTTGTTTTCTTTTGTCATTTTAAGCAGTAGCAACCTTTTAAACAAGCATTCTAGTTATGATCTAGCAGACTTGTCGCTCTGTCATCTAAAAAAAAATTCAAGTCGATTAGTTCAGTTTTATAAAAGTTCTTACGTTTTGAAAAGTGTCCGAATATTAATCGGAGTCACTGTATTTACATTCCGTAAGAAATTCGTGATTGGCACAACTTCACACGTTTTTAAAACATGAATTGCGGCACAAAGGATTATATTATACAGGGTGGGGCATTTTAAACAGGTCACCTGAATAACTCGCTTGTTTTTGAAGATAGAAGGAAATGCATTAGACCAAACTTACTTGTTATCGGGGGGCTCATATAATCTGGTATTACCAATTTTTCTGTAGGTGGAGGCGTCAAGGAGATACGAAGGTCAATTCCGTTTTTTTTTTTTAATGGAACAATGTTTTTTTTACTTACGTTCTGATAGAGTGTTTCGAGACGAATACAATGGACTATTATGAAGATCATTCAAGATCACCCAAAGTGACACAGAAAAGCAAAGCTAAAATACAGTAAAATGGCAAATAATCACACAAATTTGTTTATAAATGTAATCAAAAAATAATGTCATCTATTTACTTGTGTGCAATTTTTATCGTCATAATGTAAAAGCTAAGATCAAGTCCAATGCAACGACCGCAACGCTATGACCGTATGACATTTAGTACGAAAAGTCCAGAAATATTTACGACATTTCTAATCCTTCGCTGAAATATATAAATCTCTGAATTGTTCTTCAAATTATTTTCTAAAACAGATAATTTAATAATGTTTGAGGATACAGATAAGCGTACAATGTGACTGAATGTTTGTTTATCTTCTGTCTTGCAGTTGACTTTGGGTAACCTTGGATGACCTTCATAATAGTTCATTGTATTCGCCTCGAAACACTCTATCAGAATGTAAGTAAAAAATCTTACTGTTCCATTTAAAAAAAACAGAATTGACCTTCGTATCTCCTTGACGCCTCCACCTACAGAAAAATTGGTAATACCAGATTATATGAGCCCCCCGATAACAAGTAAGTTTGGTCTAATGCATTTTCTCCTATCTTCAAGAACAAGCGAGTTATTCAGGTGAGCTGTTTAAAATGCTCCACCCTGTATAAAGGATTATATTACTCGAAATAGTCCGTTTTTATTCATGCCGTTAAAAAATCTTTGCAATTTTGTTTTCTTGGTTTTATACTTCAATCTCTGCTCTTATCGCATTCTCCGAGCTCCCTATTGTTGTTGCATCGCTTCCTATTGCTACTTATCGCGCATCGTCGAGTTCCTCATAAATCCATCACGTTTATCCTTTACTTCGTGCATGGCACATTCTTTCGTTGAAGCCGCTCTTAGATTTCCTCGGCTGCGGCGTCGAGTAACGCTGCGTTGTCCCGCCGATAATTACCGATATCGTTTTTGGTTTTCTTCCATAAACCAAATTCAAATGTCTTTTAACAAACAGCAGATCGATACATTCGTTTTTTCGATATCATTGACATTTCTCTGCCGAAATTTCTACTCGTACTTTCCGCCTTATCTTTGCGAAGATAAATACAAGATAATTAATACAATTGCATTTCATACTTGGAAGCAACTATTGCAGAGTTGGGCATAAAGTAATCCGATTAACGATTAGAATTTAATTATTATAGTTATATATTGTAGATAATATATTTTATGATTATTATAATAATAATTATTATATTATTATATATTATATAATAACTAGTTATTATAATTAATCTATAACAGTTTATAACAGTGTTAACGAGTTATAATCGTTTATCATCGACCAGATTACCTTTCAGATATTATAAATTATTATAAATTGTGTGTTATAAATAATTAAAGATCAACGATAATAACTAACCAGTTATAATCGTTAATCGTACATTCTAATTGAAATGTCATGGGCAAAATTAGAATAGAATTTTTCATTTCTATTGAAATAACGATATACCGCGAAATGCGAGTGGAACAGAAATGTTTACGATGTTAAAAAAAAATTGGAGGATCGAAACTTCAATCTTGGAGCGAACACGGCGGAGAGATAACTCACTTTACTTCGTCCGCAGTTATTATGCAAATTGTTGGCGCATGAAACATCGAACTCATCTACGAATGAATACAGTCATTCTCTTGCACACGAGTAATTTTTACCGCTCGTGGCTAGACTACGCACGGATCGAAACGGCACGAGTCATTGGCGCACGGTGAACGCACGCGATGGATCTATCGATGGCCGAAGGATCTTCGGTCGAGCTCTCGACGGTGCCGATGCCGAGAGAACCAGTTTAGAATGAGTCATAAAAAGAGAAAAGAACGGAACAGGGAGTAGTCGGTCAAAATCAGCAACAGGAAACCGAGCCTCGACAAAGGATTCGGAGAAGAAAAAAAACCATTTGAGAGCGCGATCACGTTCTTTGCGAGATCCAACAAGAACTAACGAAAAATACGTGGGTACACTTGCAGACAAAAGGTTAAGAAACTTTACATCTCGTTAACGTTTCGGTAGAATTTGATATTTGGATCACGGCTTATTAAATTAAAAGCGTATATCAGTTGGCGCGAGGCGGCCAAAGGCCAGTCCCGCTGATTGGCTCGGCCACCTAGCGCCAGCCATCGGAGAGCGAGCGCGGCCGCCGCTCTACCCTTATAGCCAATGCCGCGTCGCGCTGACGCAGCAGCAGAGGTCGCGAGAGTGGGGCGCCTGCCTATCTCGCCTCTCATTGGTCAGCGTTTTTCGTTAATAACTCGTAAACGAAGCCGCGGATCGCATTTTCGCTAAGGAAAAAGTTACTTCAAATCACCTCAGGAACCCTTCATTTGGGACACCCTCTATAAATAACAATATATTGCAATACCATCTTATTTAGTGCGTGCGACAAATAAAAAGAAGAATAAAAATAAACAGAAATAGAAAAATACGATCGAAATGAAAAAGTAACAAATAGTCGAGTAATAAATCGAAAAAATTATCAGCACATTATCTAATATGTTAATAAACCGCTTTGACGGGCATGCTTGTGTACATGTCTCACACAGGTACGCCGAATTGGCAAAGAGTAGTTTTAAACCGCATAAACATTCGAATTGCAAAAATTCGAATTAAAAATTTCAAATTATAAAAATTCGAATCCAAACTATGGTTTAATATTCTGTAATCGTAATCGCAAGGTTATTTCAGCACAAGAGAATCGAACGATTCTCAACAATTCCATTGACAATCGGACGAAGACAAATTTAAAGATTGATTCACAGTTCTGGCACGACAGATGACAATATTTGCGAGTTAAAGGATCGAGCTCTGTAACAATTCGCTAGTGGATCGACGCGCCCGAATCGAAGCTGTAGGCTCGACATTTTCACGATGCAGGTACAATAAAAGACCGATCGACTTCCATCAACCGGATCAATGTTTGTCAGCGGGTCGACGTTGACCACGGAAACGGCGATACCCTGAAACCTATCTCCGTATGGTTCCTCGCAATCGGTAAGATCGACTTACAACATGTCCGTTGAAGTTCTAAGATGATGTATCCGTGCGCGCAAAGCGAGTCGAGATCGCGACTATCAACCTCGAAGCAAAAAAAGAAAAGAAAAAAGAAACAAACTATCTGCCGGTTGTATCTACGTGAACGCGAATCGCAGCAAGTTGATTATTCGTTCATAGGTTCGCAAATATTTAATTCCTCGGACTTGCGAATGTTTTCCGAAACTCGGAAAGGAGACGTTTATCCTTCGATAAAAATAATTAACGAGTCGTTGTCGATATATAAATTATAAATTTCTTTAACTTTACGCACGTGTCTTTATATTAAACAATTTTTATCAACACAGGATGCATCATATATATTCATTAATATATATTAGTATGTATTAAATATAAATTATAAATTCGATAAAATTATAATTACATATATTTTTAATTATATTATATATTTATTATATTTAATTATTATTATATTTTTATTTATTATGTATTTATTATATACTAATTATATATTTAATTATATATTAATCGTATACATCATTTCTTGTAACTAGCAACTTACTGAATTCTTTGTACTTCGCAAATAACTTTTCCAACAAATCTTCCTGCTTAATTAACAAAAGTTAATTATTTGACAGCAGATAGATTAAGTAAAATACAGGGTGTCCCATAATTATGTTAACACCGGGAAAGGAGTGATTCCTGAGTCGATTTGAAGTAACTTTTTCCTTAGCGAAAATGCAATCCGCGGCTTCGTTTACTAGTTATTAACGAAAAACAGTGACCAATGGAAGCCGTGCTCGCCTAGCGCCAGCTGGACCTTCCAATCGAAGCCAATGCCGCGTCGCGCTGACGCAGCGGCAGAGGTCGCGAGACCACTCTCGCCTGCCGATCTCGCCTCTCATTTGTCAGCGTTTTTCGTTAATAACTCGTAAACGAAGCCGCGGATCGCATTTTTGCTAAGGAAAAAGTTACTTAAAATGACCCCAGGAACCTCTCATTTCTCGCTTGTACAATAATTTTGGGATACCCTGTATATTATATATATATTATATAATATGTTGTTTGCCAGTTTCATTCGCAAACATGTCAGCGAATTTTCATGTCACCACTTGGAAAATATTATTCTGCTCGACAGTGCGACAGCGTTTGCACGTATAATGCAGAGATAGACGAAGGAATTTTACTCACCTTCGGGTCTCAGTCTGTCAGCAATAAGGCAGTACGGGGGTGGCGGCGACTCTGGAAGATGATAAAGAAAACCATAGATCAGTAATCGATATTACATCAATTTTATTTTCAGCTAAAAATTAAAACGTATCGAAAGTCACGTATAATTTCTTAAAGCGGGAATAATTCTAATACGTTCGCGAACCGACTATCAATTTTTAATCATTTGGAGATATACAGGGTGTCTCAAAAATGTCTCGTAATCCGGAAATGGGGAGGGGGGTAGCTGCAGTCATTTGAAGTAACTTTTTCGTTAGCGATAATGTTCTATGAGGCTTTGTTTACGAGTTATTAACGAAAAACACCGACCAATGAGAGATCGCGTACTGCTGTCGCCCCGCCGTCGCAATCCCTGTTGCTGCGTCAAACGGTCAGCACGATGCGGCATTGGTCGCAAAGGCGGAGCGCCGGCCGTGCCTGCCTCTTATTGGTCACTTGTTTTTCGTTAATAACTCGTTAACGATGCCTCAGAGAACATTTTCGTAAAGGAAAGAGTTGCTTCAAATCACCTCAGGAATCACACCTTTTTGGGTGTTAACATAATTATGGTGTCTGTATAAATATTCTCACTACTCTGGTCTACAGTTACCACACCACGAAATTTTGGAGACGCTAAAAGTTTATTCCACGAGTACCATGAAACGTGCAAATGTTTGCATTGGTGCTCACAGATACGTTGCCTTTTAAAATTATATTTGTACAGGTTTGGTACTACTAGAGTGGTGTTACTGCAATAAGTACTATTATATATTATATATTGTATATTGTATATTGTATATTATATATAATATATTATATATTATATATTATATATTATATATTATATATTATATATTATATATTATATATTATATATTATATATTATATATTACATATTACATATTATATATTATATATAATATTATATATATTATATTTAGTATATATTGCTGTAATATAAAAAACGAACTGGATCTACCATTGCCTGGCCAGTGATTGGTGCTATCAGGAAAAACAACTATGCAAGGCAATGCATGCGCAGGGAGTACCACGCTACGGCGTAAGGCCTCTACCCGGCGAACATTACAATTCTGGCGTCGCGTCGCGTCGTGTCGTTGGCGTAGTTCAGAGTTACAATGTTCACCCGGTGGATGCCCCACGCCGCTGTGCGGGACTCTCTCTCTCTCTCTCTCTCTCTCTCTCTCTCTCTCTCTCTCTCTGTGCGCATGCGTCGCTTTGCGTAGTTGTTTTTCCTGACTGCGCCGTGTTCGGCTTCGTAAACTGTTTCAATACAGATGCATGTAAGTATTATGAAACGCAATCTACAACTGTCCCTGCTGACCAATGATCGCTATACCACCGATCTTTATGCACAATAAAAATTGCCAACGTCGATCGCAACGAACTAAAGTGAGATCGTAATCTGTTTTCTTTTCTAACGCGTTCCGTGCTACCTGCACCATCGATGGTACATGCTTACATGTTTACATGTGAATTAATTACCACCACAAGAATGGGTTATAATAGCTTTGTTTCATTACGCGTGAATATAATGTGAATTTTTGAAGAATGGATCTTCATACAGTACGAAACGGTTTTTATTATAAAATCCTTAAATTATATTGTATATTCAATACATATAATTATTTTTCCCGTTAGAGAAAAGCCTTTTGAAATGCAACGATTTCAATTTTCTTTTTTTACATGTTGATGGGACCAGTTTACTACACAATGATCAATTATTTTTAACTTTGCTACAACTTGGAACAACAGAAAAAAAGTAACAGCAAAATTAAAATAATGTATTTTAATTATCATACACATGGTAAACTGGTCTTGTTAACGTTTAAAAGGAATTCAAGTCATTCGGTCAAGTTTGGAAAATGTTATCACGTTTTAAACAGCGTTCGACCACTTTGCGCCAAGGTTCGTACATAATTCTGATCGTTTTCGAAATTACTGTTACCGTTTCAATCTCATCGCTCGTCCAATAATCGGGAATATTCGCCGATCCGGCGCTGCTGAATTCCCGAGCACGCCGGATTATTGGAATTCTACCGTACCCGTTTCCACGGAACCCTCTGCATCGAGCGTTAAAATCGGTCTTCGGGGAAGAATCTTACATCGTTTCACACTTAGCAAAGCCATTAATACCTGTACGGTCGATCCGAACGGATATGCGCGCGCTCGGCCGACCGCAAGCGACAGTAAACGCAACATTAAAACGAAACGAAACGAAACGGAGACATTCATTAACGGCGCCAGCGAGGGCACGATAAATCTATTTTAGCGGGGATAGCCGTTCTGCGTTGCGTTCCGATTCCAATTTAATCCGAAACGGACTCGGCGACGGCAACGCGGACCGAGAAGGAACGAGAGAGAAAACTCCAACTCCAAGGCTCTGTTTTCGATTAAGCGGCATTAACCCTTCGCCCCGCGACTTAAGTTTCAAGAACGTGTGCCACAAACAACAACAAGATCGGTCACGCGTCGGGCCCTTTCACAGTTGCGCGAAACGTCTGAAGTTGTGCTGCTAATCGCGAACTTCTTACGGAATGTAAATACAGTGACGCCCGTTAATATTCGGACACCTTTCAAAACGCAATAACATTTTTTAAAACTGGACTAAACGACCTGAATTCTTTTCTTCTTAGATCATAAAGCGATATGACTACTAGACCACAACTAGAATGCTTTCTTAAATGTTGCTACTGTTTAGAATGACAAAAGAAAACAAAAATCTCTTGTTTTCTAAGTTTTTCGTCTAAGCCTATTTGTTTTGTAAATCTCGGTAAATTATACGCAGGTAAAAAATTTCAAGGAAATTGACTGACCTTCGTATGAGCCGTAAACAATTAAAGATCGTAAAAAGCCCAGCACGAGTCAAGCTGGTTTCTGCGTCGCCTCCTTTAGCTACTAGTAAAACAATTAAATGACGGAAAACAAAAAACCTCAAAATACATATCTCCTAGTCTAACACGAGCCTAAATAGTTGTGTTTACATTTGGTCCAACTGACGCACCACGGCTCTCATTTCTGGCTTTCTGACCACGTCTCTCAGACGTGATAATCATTTCTAGCCCAATTTTTGTACCACGTCTCTCAGACGTGATACTAAATTCTGGCCCGATTTTTTGACCACGTCTCTCAGACATGGCAATCATTTCTGACCCGATCTTTTGACCACGCCTGTCGCACGTGATAATCATTTCTAAGCCGATTTTTTGACCACGTCTCACACGTGATACTAAATTCTGGCCCGATTTTTTTACCACGTCTCTCAGACATGGCAATCATTTCTGACCCGATCTTTTGACCACGTCTGTCACACGTGATAATCATTTCTGACCCTATTTTTTTACCACGTCTCTCAGACATGGCAATCATTTCTGACCCGATCTTTTGACCACGTCTGTCACACGTGATAATCATTTCTGACCCTATTTTTTTACCACGTCTCTCAGACATGGCAATCATTTCTGACCCGATCTTTTGACCACGTCTGTCACACGTGATAATCATTTCTGACCCTATTTTTTTACCACGTCTCTCAGACATGGCAATCATTTCTGACCCGATCTTTTGACCACGTCTGTCACACGTGATAATCATTTCTGACCCTATTTTTTTACCACGTCTCTCAGACATGGCAATCATTTCTGACCCGATCTTTTGACCACGTCTGTCACACGTGATAATCATTTCTGACCCTATTTTTTTACCACGTCTCTCAGACGTGATAATCATTTCCGGCTCGATGTTTTGACAACGTCTCTCAGACGTGATAATCATTTCTGGCCCAATTATCTGACCACGTCTCTCAGACGTAGTTGTAGGGCAAATAGTTAATGAAAATCGGGGCGGGCAACGAAACGCGGCCGACGAATGGCGCGTTACGCCCCGTTAGGAGCCCTAATCCAAAACCGGAGGATTCTATTATTGGCGCGCCCAGCGAAATCGGTATATTGTTTTACGTTCTTTTACGTGTCGCTCTGAAACCATAGGGGACAAATTGTGGCGTGAATATCGCGTATGTCGAGGTAACACGATGCGGCGCGGCGCGGCGCGGCGCTTAGGAACACGAGATCCTATTGTAGCCACGGCAAGCGTCTTCTCCACGGACTTGCCGCAACAACATTCGAAGAAAGTGCTACAACATTTAGACGATACGGATCAGTGTTGGACATTTCATCCTCGAATTGTTTCGAATGAATATTTATCCGAGATAATTATCCGAAGCGAACATTTTTGAGCCGAACATTTTATTCAAATAACGATTATTATCCATTTATTTGTCGTAAATTATAAATACGGAATTATTCGAACAGAGACTGTAAAATTGTTACGATAATAACGGTTTATAGAATTGTACAATTGCCGGTGCTTTTGTCTACACCTGTGGAAAGATTATTACTTCGTTATCCATGAATGATCATCGACTCTACAAAAAAATAACAAGCTTTCCGACAAAACGTTTGAAAAGGGTAATATCGAAGAACTAAATCGATAAACTATGAAAAGTTTCATACAAAACCTACGTTATATTATTCCATCATTTTTAATCAAATCGATTATTTTCAGTACGAATTGCTGTACAAATAAATTGCTATCCCAATGAATTCTTGCTCGAACAAAATTTTATCCGAATGAATTCATATTTGAATAAAATCTCACTCGGTTACAATTTTATCTCGATAAATGTTTATTCGATAGTCTCGAATAAAATTTGAGATTCGTTGATATTATAGAATTATGTTAGAGCGTATTACATATAGTATATTATATTTATCTTTCTTCGACTTGAAATTTAGTTTAATTTTCTTACTACCACGGTCTCGTCTGTGCTTATAACATCGTTAATCTTCGTGATTACGTGTTCCATAATTATGTGATTCCTGAGGTCATTTGAAGTAACTTTTTCCTTTACAAAAATTTTCTCCGAGGCATCGTTAACGAGTTATTAACGAAAAACACTGACCAAGTAAGAGATCGCGTACGGCTGACGCCCCGCCCTCACGAACACTGCCGCTAC